TCAGTGAAGGCGAGCTGACCTTGGCCCTGTAGAGCTCCAGCTCATTATCTGTGATCCTCCAGGGCTCTTCCGTCTTCAGTCTCTCCGCCGCTTCTTGCTCCATGTCGTCTTCCCTCAGTCTGTACGGCTCGATCATCTCCTGAAACATCTCCTTACTGAGAACACAATCATCACACTGTTTCTGAAGGATCCCGGGGCCAAACATGCTCATCGCCAGTGTTGGGGAACTACAGTTACGTCATCAGATTACATCAAGGAACTAGTAAAGTGATGCATTACTTTTAAAATTTACAACAAAATATCCCTGTTACTTTTTTAAATATAACGCAAGTTACTTTGTTTTCCCATGTATTGACTGACAGCTCTCCTGTCCCCATGTTGAAACAAATGGAAGTGCAGAGGCGTGTGTGTGTGTGTGTGTGAACATGATGGTTATTGTAGTTCTAGACTAAATGTGAGCGTGCATTTACTCATCTCACTTGCACAAAAAAAAGATTCAGTATTCCTCCAAATGAAAAAAAAAACAGTCAAATGCAAAATCAGACTACACTCACCTAAAGGATTATTAGGAACACCATACTAATATTGTGTTTGACCCCCTTTCGCCTTCAGAACTGCCTTAATTCTACGTGGCATTGATTCAACAAGGTGCTGAAAGCATTCTTTAGAAATGTTGGGCCATATTGATAGGACAGCATCTTGCAGTTGATGGAGATTTGTGGGATGCACATCCAGGGCACGAAGCTCCCGTTCCACCACATCCCAAAGATGCTCTATTGGGTTGAGATCTGGTGACTGTGGGGGCCATTTTAGTACAGTGAACTCATTGTCATGTTCAAGAAACCAATTTGAAATGATTGGAGCTTTGTGACATGGTGCATTATCCTGCTGGAAGTAGCCATCAGAGGATGGGTACATGGTGGCCATAAAGGGATGGACATGGTCAGAAACAATGCTCAGGTAGGCCGTGGCATTTAAACGATGCCCAATTGGCACTAAGGGGCCTAAAGTGTGCCAAGAAAACATCCCCCACACCATTACACCACCACCACCAGCCTGCACAGTGGTAACAAGGCATGATGGATCCATGTTCTCATTCTGTTTACGCCAAATTCTGACTCTAACATCTGAATGTCTCAACAGAAATCGAGACTCATCAGACCAGGCAACATTTTTCCAGTCTTCAACTGTCCAACTTTGGTGAGCTCTTGCAAATTGTAGCCTCTTTTTCCTATTTGTAGTGGAGATGAGTGGTACCCGGTGGGGTCTTCTGCTGTTGTAGCCCATCCGCCTCAAGGTTGTGTGTGTTGTGGCTTCACAAATGCTTTGCTGCATACCTCGGTTGTAACGAGTGGTTATTTCAGTCAAAGTTGCTCTTCTATCAGCTTGAATCAGTCGGCCCATTCTCCTCTGACCTCTAGCATCAACAAGGCATTTTCGCCCACAGGACTGCCGCATACTGGATGTTTTTCCCTTTTCACACCATTCTTTGTAAACCCTAGAAATGGTTGTGCGTGAAAATCCCAGTAACTGAGCAGATTGTGAAATACTCAGACCGGCCCGTCTGGCACCAACAACCATGCCACGCTCAAAATTGCTTAAATCACCTTTCTTTCCCATTCTGACATTCAGTTTGGAGTTCAGGAGATTGTCTTGGCCAGGACCACACCCCTAAATGCATTGAAGCAACTGCCATGTGATTGGTTGATTAGACAATTGCATTAATGAGAAATTGAACAGGTGTTCCTAATAATCCTTTAGGTGAGTGTATCCAAACCTCCAAAAATGAAACAAATATTTTTATGCATTTTATCTCACTTTATTGACCAATGTACTTTATATTGACTACTAAAAACAACTTTAAATTTTGAGTTTTTATTGGCTAAGTGTTGAAAGTCTAAAGGTGTGTTTGAGCCTCTACTGGACACGTGTGAATCTGCACTTCCTTCAGTCTGAGGCTTATTTCAATTTTGGTGTGAAAGGGTCTTTACATTTGCCCAAAAATAGCACTTTTCTGTTATAAAACGCCCAGACCAGGTGAGAAAAAGTAACGCAATTAGTCACTTTTTAAGCGAGTAACAATATTGTAATGCATTACTTTTCCAAGTAACGTTCCCCAACACTGCTCATCACTGATCTAAACTTACTTGTGCTTCTTCGGCTTGATGTTGATGTCTCCAATAACAGTGATGTCAGAGAAATCAATCCTGAACTTACTGAGCAACGCCGCCATTCTGTGCCAGAGCAAAAGCTTTAGTAGTTTACACTAAATGCACACACTGCAAACATTACATTTTTACTCAATATTCTTGTCTTCCAGCACAAATATTCTTAAATCAATATACATTTACTGGAGAAGAAAAATCACTGAATATATTAAGTCACGTTTTCTGAGTCAAAATGAAGTGAGTTTGTACTTAAAACCTGAACAAATATCTGCAGTGCCAGAAAAATAAACTTCATTGAAAGTGAAGGGTTAGTGTTACCAGTGCATTATCTGATTATCTCCTATTTAAAACGTTTTGTTTTATAAAGTTTTGGACACACTATCTGAATTTGTTTCTAATGATCTTCTGATGAGGCTGTTGCTTAAATGATTCAAACTAATTCTGTAGACAAATATAAACTCTTTTTAAATATAATAATTTGTACACACAAAGCAAAAGACACTAAATGCATTGGACATGTGTAGAACGGTTAGTAATACTGACGCTCTGCGGTCGTGGTCGATCCGGTTGATCTTTCCTCCGATGAACACACGGATCTTGCAGTCGCGCCATTTCTTTTTGTTGGTTAGCAAATACGGTATCAGAAGAGTCAAGCCTACGACAGCGAGGGGTTAATAACTTATTAAAGTGACAAACTCTCACAGGATATAATGAAGGCAAAGAAAACAGTCAAACCAGAATATATTCAGACACCTTCAACATTTCTCACATCATCAGTTTATTCGCTATAGTTGGTAATGAAATCTGAGCAGAACTCAGTGGATATTTGACTGGTTTTGTCCGTCCTTCTGTTAGACTCTCACACATGAATTATGTTGAATATCTGTCAGCTGTTAAATTGAACTCCACAATTAGATAATACCAGTTTAGCTCAACCAGTGACCAAGCAATGCTTCATGTTGTTCAGTGTGTGTGTAAAAAGAGCATTAGCAATTACAGAAAACACACTTCAGCAAAACATGATCAGCTCAAAGTGGAGGAATCATTGTTACTGGTAGTCACTGGATGAAGAATATTTGGGTGTAATATGTCAGTTTACTTTATTCTGCTCTCCTCACTTACAGAAATGAACTATAGTGTCCTGATCACACTAGTGGAACAATATCAAAAATCATATCTGGTGTCTGAATAATGTTTGGTTCGACTGTACATTCAATCAAAAGTACATTAAAGTTGTAATATCACGTGACCTCCGTCGTCGAACAGCCACCACACATCGATCGTCCCCTTGCTCTGCTTCTTCTGGAACTGCTGGCTGGCGTGGAGGAGCTTCTCGTCCGCAGAACTGAGCGGCAGGCGAAGCTTCTTCGGGTCTGACGTCAAACATCAGCGTTAGACGAGAGAAGGTCACCAGATGCAGATCACACAAGAGAACTAACATCCATCATGAATTTGAACTGTTTTACTTTTTATAATAATAATAATTCATTACATTTATATAGCCCTTTCTCGGCACTCAAAGCGCTTTACGTGGAAGGGGGAATCTCCTTAACACCACCAGTTTTTGAATATGTTACATTGTATCATTCTTCAAACATTATGGAATGTTCATTTTGAATGTTCTCTGAACGTTCCGAAACAAGTTGTAACATTTAAAAAAAATGTTATATGAACATCCAAACTCTTTATGAACGATGTATAATGTTTTTGTGAACGTTATTAAAGACCAGAAAATCTTGAATGAACGTTTCATTAAAGTCCCCCTGTAGTCAATCATTTTATTCTTTAAAACTCATCTTTGATTAGCAAAATGACATATTTAAATGATTTTGCCTTAAAATATCTTGAATGTAACTCGACACCCTCGCCTCATTTAGTATGCGTGGTTCTATGAATATGCAGATGAGCCCCGCCTCCACTCACTCCCTCAGCTCAGAGATCCACTGGTTGACGATCACACGTTGATCTGATTGGTTACAAGGTCGTTTGTGACGTCAGAAACACCAGCGATTTCAAACCGTGTTTTTGAGACTGTCTTTGGTTCACTGCAGTTTTAAGCAGAAAATACTCAGCAATGCGTCACGACTTATGAACTTACACATGGTTTAAGCGTATTAAAAACACCACATAGACACATAAACAACATTAAAAGCTGGATTTACACCACAGGAGGACTTTAACGTTACTGGAGGAACGCTTGTTTCATAACTTTGAGAGAGCCTTCCCAGAACGTTCCCTGTTAACCTTTGAATATGTCCTTATGAATCTCAATTCATGAATGTCAGTTGTATGCCATAATACACCGGAGTTCAGTCTCTAGCGCTCATTAAACGCTCGTGACCTCTGACCTCTGAAGATGAGCGGGCTGCTTTGACAGCTGGTTGCGATAGATGATGGTTTCGAGGAATCGCTGTCGAAGTCTTTGATGTTGATGGACACCAGGAGATCCTTCATTCCAGGCGTCTTCTCCTGCGAGGACAGAAACTCATCTGGAGAAAGACCAGCGGCGTTAAAATCATGAAGACGACACTGATGACGCTTACACTTCAGTAACTGCCGGAAACTCCACCTTGAATGTGAGAGATGTCGAGACCTTCCTTCAGTCTCAAGAGAACCACCCCGAACTGCAGGTCAAACGCATCACTGAGAATATGAGGAAATAACCAACATTCATAAAAACCTGCTCTAGGAGAGCCAAAAACAGCATCAAGACTGAGAAAGGGCAATATATGGACTCTGGTTGCAATTCATGAATGCTTTGGAATACTTGCTTCTTTTTAAAGAAGACACTCAGATCACTGCAAAAAATGGTTTTCATACTTAGTATTTTTCCAAAAATCAAAAAATTCTTAAATCAATATGCATTTACTAGATGAGTAAAATGAGATAATATATTAAGTCCTGTTTTCCGGGGGAATTAATCAAAATTAAGTGAGTTGATGCTTCAAACAAGCTAAATGATCTGCCAATGGGGTCAGAAAAATAATGTTAACTCAAACAAAACAAGCTTATTTTTCTGACCCCATTGGTTTTAAGCAAAAACTCACTTAATTTCTATTTATTTCTCCAGAAAACAAGACTTAATATCTGATGTAATTTTACTACTTTAGTAAATGCATCTTGATTTAAGAAATTTTAGATATTTGGACTGGAAACAAGACAAAAATACTAAGTAAGAAAGGCATTTTTTGCAGTGATTATTGCAGCATAGAAAGTGTAAAATTGTATATATGTGTAAGTTTACAGTAAAGCAAATGCACTGAACTAAACAAAAGATATATTTTAACAAAATAATTTGGCCTCTAAAAAAATGCTGTATGTCTAACCAATTGTGTTCCAAACTTTAAGTTGATATCACAAAAGTTTTGCCACTAAACGGTTTTAAAGTAGCATTTCTATTTTTTCACAGGATGAATTTTAATTGTGTGCAATAAAAAAAAAAAGTGTCAGTGAGAGTAAAGGTCCTCGCACACCGAGTCCGAAATCTTCACACGTAAAAAAATAAATACAACCTCATGTTTTGTCAATCACGATTACACACCGCATCCGAAACTTTCGTCCGGCATGAAAAAATTCGGATCGGGTTCGATTTTCTGCGTTTTCGCATCCGTAGCTCAAGCATTTTGAATTGTGTTTTGACAATCCAGAGCCACCGAATCACGGATATGACAAAACGCAAACGAACGTGTCGGACTCTCTGTGCGAGGGCCTTTAACAGGCTAAAGATGAAGACAGAAGGAGACTCGCTGGATGGTGTTGATGTAGGTTTCCACGTCCTTCATCTCGCCGTCCCTCCAGTTGTTCTTAAAGCCGAATACTAGTGTGTTTGGTTTCAGCCGGCCCAAACCAGCGGTCTGTCAATCAAACGACATCAGTTTCACTCTTACACTCACTCTTTCAGTCTGTAATTGTTTGTGAAATTTACTAGAAATATCTAAGAAAACGGCAAGAAATCCATTAAATTACACGTGAAGTTTCTTAGTAGAAAAAATACTTCAAAAAATTGTTTTTACACTGCAAAAATGATTGTTCTATTGAGTATTTCTGCCTTATTTTCCAGCACAAATATCTAAACATTCTTAAATCAAGATACATTTACTGGAGAAGAAGCAAAATGACTGAAGATAGAGACAGAAAAATAATCTTAACTCAAAGGGAAAACAAGATTAAATCTCTCACTCCATTAGCAGATTTAAGCATGAATTTACTTAATTTTGATGCATTTTTTCATTACAGAAGACTTAATATCTTCAGTCATTGTTCTTCTCCAGTACATGTATCTTGATTTAAGAATGTTTGGATATTTGTGCTGGAAACGAGACAGAAACACTGAGGAAGAACATCATATTTGCAGCTCAGGAGAGTTTTAAACGGGTTCTGTGTGAAGACTGATTCACGTCACTACATGAGCTCTTTATCATAAATGACATAATGCATCATATTTTCCAGGTGCGTTCTGACCTGTAGGAGATACTGGGCTCCTTGTCTGAGATCATCAGCAAACACAGGGGTGTAGAAAGCTTTGATTCGGGCCTTCAGGAGCCAGCGCTGGTAGCGGACCTGCTCGTTCATCATCTCCTTATAGTTCGGCCGCCGGTATCCCTGCGAGAGAAGGACAGAACAACTGCAGCTTTGGTTGAGGAAACTGAGAAAATACACAGTATTTTAGTCTTGTTTTCCAGTACAAATATCGAAACGCTTTTAAGCCTCATTTACGGCTCACTGTTTCAGAAACCAGCGAGAGTCGGATCCAAATGCAACCATTTATTAACAAACATAAGCTAAAAAGTAAATCCAAACACAGGGAAAGAACAGAAACAGAACAAAAACAGATAACCAGAGGATAACTAGGAACAGGCGAGGGTAATCAATCACTGTGGCAACAAATGAGGGTAACTATAGAAACAAAGTAAAATTTTGTATTTTTAATGAATTTTATGGTAGTATTTATGCTATGGTAATATTTACGCACTAATTATGATCTAATGGCTTCCAAAAAAAAAAATCTAATTAAAAAAATAAATTAATTTGTCAATTAACCCCTTCATTGCGGCGTGCTTATTTCTGCATCACGTCTGATTTGTTGATTGTAAAATTCTGTTTTTTTATTTTTCTCATTCATATCTATAATGAATAATGGTGGTCAGTTTTGATTGAAGTGGGACTAATTTCGAATCAAGACCTTCGAATCATTTCCAGGATTTTTTTTCTGTGTTCAAGTGCTACAAAAGTCACATTCTGATAAAGTAAAACACTTTAAAAAAACAAAAAGTAAAATTTGAAAGAAAAACACTACAGGGTTAAATCAAGATGCATTCACTTGAGAAGCAAAATAACTTGGGTCTTGTATACTAAAAAACATATCAAAGATAAGTGAGTTTATGCTAAAAACCCAAGACCAGATATCTGCCAGTGGAGACAGAGTTCAGATACTCGTGTTAACACTTCACAATAAGGGTGTCGTTTATTTAGCTAACATGAACTAACAATACTTCAACGGCATGTTCATTTCAGCAATTAATACATTTTTAAGGTCAAAAGTACCTGTTCACGTATAATGCACTGTGAACTAACATGAGCATGAATATAATATCGCTTCTCCAGTAAATGTCTCTTGATTTAAGAATATTTGTGCTGGAAAACGAGACAGAAACACTGAGGAAGACCATCATGTTTTGCAGTTTCAACTGAAGAAAAGATGAAGTGTGTATTGTTGAGGTGACGTACAGTGCGCACGTGTCCGCACACCATCAAGCCGGAGTTGTTGGTGAAAGCGTGTACGAGATACATCAGCGCCGGCCGAGAGTTCGGGTATCCGGACATGATGAGACACTGAGGCCTGTGGGAACAGCAGGAGTTCAGTCCGTCTCTGTAGACTCACGTTAATATGGTCCAAAGCGTCTACACTCTAAAACATGCTGGTTTGGGTCAAATATGGACAAACCCAAACTTTGGGTTAAAAATGTCATTTCAAAATTTAACCCGACGTCTGGGTTTGTCCATATTTGACCCAATTTGAGTTGTTTTACAAATTGGTCACTATAACTGATGTAATGGTCTTGCTTATGAATTATGATACCGGTTTATTTGTGAAATATCATATACATAAAGCAAAATGTATGTTAACTGTACTAAATGCTAGACTATTTTCCACTAACTTAAAGGTTTTTGTGACTTCACTACAGAACAATCGTAAAGCTGTTAAGACATCTCAGCTGTTGGAAAGGATACTTGAAGTATGATTGATTTTTTGATACAAAATGCAGAATTCTGATCTTAATTTTTTATACATTCAAGTGTTTTCACTGCAAAAAATGCTTTTCTTACTTAGTATTTTTGTCTTGTTTCCAGTCCAAATATCTAAAATTTCTTAAATCAAGATGCATGACATAAGATATTAAGTCTTGTTTTCTGACTAAATAAATAAAAATTAAGTGAGTTTTTTTTTTATTCCCCCAGAAAACGGGACATAATATCTTATCTAGTAAATGCATCTTGATTTAAGAATTTTTATACATTTGGACTGGAAACTGGAACTGGAAATACTAAGTAAGAAAAGCATTTTTTGCAGTGTTATTGTTGTTATTGCGATAATAAATAAATAAATAAATAAATGAATGAATAATTGTGTGTAGAGTCCCACATGTGTGTGTTCATCTGACTCACCGGAAGTTCTTGATGTGATCCTCGACCCCGGTCAGATGCAGAGAGTGTGTCAGGGCTTTATTGTACATCAGCGCTTGTGTCGACGATCCCCAGTTCACATCTGCAGCAGAAACACACCGTTCAGCCTCTGACACGCGCACTTATGATGTTAACACACAATCAATAACACTTTACAATCACTACTCACATTTATGCATTTGGAAGATGCTTTTATCCAAAGTGACAGTAAAGACATTTATAATGAAGATTCTATTTCAAATAAATGCTGTTCTTTTGAACTTTCTATTCATCAAAGAATCCTAAAAAATAAAATACATCACAGTTTCCACAAAAATATGAACACTGATAATAATCATAAATGTATCTTGAGCATCAGATCCTCATATTAGAGTGATTTCTGAAGGATCATGTGACACTGAAGACTGGAGTAATGATGCTGAAAATCACAGGAATAAATTACACTTTACTGTATATTCACATAGAGAACAGATGATTTACATTAGAATAATATTTCACTGTTTTTACTGTATTTTTTATCAAGTAAATGCAGCCTTGGTGAGCAGAAGAGACTCTTTCAGAAACATTAATAATCTTAATCATTCCAAGCTTCTCACAAAACGTAGTCTTAAAGTCCCCCTGTGGTGTAAATCCAGCGTTTAATGTTGTTTATGTGGTGTTTTTAATACGCTTTATAGACACACCATGTGTAAGTTCATAAGTCGACAGCATTGCTGAGTATTTCCTCCTTAAAACTGCAGTGAACCAAAGACAGTCTCAAAAACACGGTTTGAAATCGCTGGTGTTTCTGACGTCACAAACGACCTTGTAACCAATCAGATCAACGTGTGATCGTCAACCAGTGGATCTCTGAGCTGAGGGAGTGAGTGGAGGCGGGGCTCATTTGCATATTCATAGAACCACACATACTAAATGAGGCGAGGGTGTCGAGTTACATTCAAGATATTTCAAGGAAAAAACGTTTAAATATGTCATTTTGGTGATCAAAGATGAGTTTTAAGGGACACAATGATTGACTACAGGGGGACTTTAAACTATATGTTGCACATAATCATACTGTAGATCTGAAGTGAAAGCAGATCTGACCTGGTTTCTTATAGCTGACGTATATGTAGAGCGCCAGAACGATGCCGTTGGTGACCAGCGCCGCCCACCAGTTGATCACGAACATCACGGCGCAACACAGCACGGCTCCGGCCAGCGACACCCACTTGTTATAGTATTTGAAACTCGGACGCCACCCTGTCCAGATGCGAATCAGCGTGATCAACTTCATCAGGGATGTTTTACACACTGGCTGAATCCCAAATCACCCCCTACACCCTCAAACAGCGCATTATTATTTAAGGGGACAGCAATATGTACTCATTCAATCCCACAATGCACTGCGATAATGAGTGTACAACCGATGTACCGATGCTCAACGGCTGTCCGAATTCACACACTCGTTTTCAGTCACTCCTTCAAGTGAACGGTATTAACGTAGGGAGCAGTGAACGAGGGTTTAGGGGACGAGTTCGGATTCAGCCACTGACTGAGGAAATGACACTTGCCTGGAGAGTTCGCCAGCGACGCGTGGAAAACAGAGAAGTTTATCAATGCGTACGAGGCCAAGAAGAAGTTGGAAATGATGGGAGCGATGATGTTTAACTCCGCTGAAACACCAACACATGTGATTTTACACACACAGACGCTGTCGTTGACACACTCAAACCAGAATATATTCAGAACCTTCAACATTTCTCACATTATCAGTTTATTCGCTATAGTTGGTAATAAAATCTGAGCAGAACTCAGTGGATATTTGACTGGTTTTGTCCGTCCTTCTGTTAGACTCTCACACATGAATTATGTTGAATATCTGTCAGCTGTTAAATTTAACTCCACAATTAGATAATACCAGTTTAGCTCAACCAGTGACCAAGCAATGCTTCATGTTGTTCAGTGTGTGTGTAAAAAGAGCATTAGCAATTACAGAAAACACACTTCAGCAAAACATGATCAGCTCAAAGTGGAGGAATCATTGTTACTGGTAGTCACTGGATGAAGAATATTTGGGTGTAATATGTCAGTTTACTTTATTCTGCTCTCCTCACTTACAGAAATGAACTATAGTGTCCTGATCACACTAGTGGAACAATATCAAAAATTATATCTGGTGTTTGAATCATTTTTGGTTTGACTGTATAAGAGTGGGGTGGAGGTGATTTACCGATCAGAATGAAGGCCAGGCCGATGACGAAGGTGAGGACGTAAGCGCGCAGAGGCTCTTTGTTCTTTCCGTATCCTTTGGCGAACACATGTAATCCAGGGTAGATTTTATCCTTACACAAGGCCTGCAGAAACACACACACATGCACACACACACACAAACACACACACGCACGCACGCACGCACGCACCAAACACACACACACACACACACACACACACACACACACACGCACACACACACACGCACACACAAGATAAAAGAGAGAAAATACATCATCATTTACTGTATGCATTTGGCAGATGCTTTTAACCAAAGTGGCTTACATTGCATTCAAGCTATTAAACATTTTTTCACTTCATGCATTATCCTTACGGGAGTTTCATCAGTTCTCTGATGATTTTGCAATAAATTACCCAAATGCCATTTATCATTGTGCGAAAATCAGAAAGCACAAGCTTTTGTATCAGGTTGCCATGTTGAAACCCTTAAAATAACAGTAGAAGATGGTGAATTACGAGTGGAAATGTACAGTCGACGGCATTAACACTGACAGTACCACACATGAAAAATGTGTAACGGTCAATTTGCAGATGCAAACGGCTCAATAATGTGTTTTTATTTGGCTGCACGTCACATCACTCATTAGAGCTGTTGAAAGTGATGCACACATTCAGCACGATGCTTTTATTCAATTAAATACAACTAATCATCACATAAGATGAGGTTCTCAGGACTTTGGCAAACGTTCTGTCAAGGTTCTCTGAAAGTTATAAACAAACAAACTCTCTACTAACGTTAAAAAAAACGTTCGTTAAAAGTGATCTGGTCTTTAATAATGTTCTCTAAACGTTAGAACAACAACATTATTTATACATCGTTCATGAAGCTTTTTTTCTGAAATGTTTTGAAAACCTGAAATCATGACTTATTGAATACAGTCATAATTATGAATTACTATAATAAAGTTAACATTATGACAAGACGAAAATTCTGACAAAAAAGTTGAAATTATTAGTCATATTTATAAGATAAAATGAAATTATGACAGTGAGTCAATTATATGACAAAAGTAATTATTACATACAATCTAGTCAAAATGATGAGATGTAAACTCAGAATCATGACATAAAAAGTTGATATGACATTCATATTTATGAGATGAAAGTCAAAATTATTACATACTAAGATGAATTTATGACAAAAAAGTTGAAAGTATGAAAATCATTTTTATGAAATTAAAAGGTAGTAAGAAAAAGTAAGAACAGCATGCATGTTGTGTGGCCATGCCTGATGTGTTAACCGCTGGCCTCAGTGTATCAAACACACAGAAGATCTGAAGACTGACCTGGAAGACTTTAGGAGCGCTGACCAGAGACGCCAGCGCCGACGAGAGCGTAGCGGAGAAGATCCCAGCGGTGATGAGCGGCCCGAACCCAGACACCAAACTCATCACCTGACAGAACCACAGAACCATCACAGAACCACACACAACATTAACATCACAGAACCATCAGTAACATCACAGACAGCTCAACAACACTTCTTTCAGACACATAAACTATCTTAAAGTCCCCCTGTGAGAAAGTCTCACTAATGACACTGATTTATGATGTGGATGTACAAGATCGCTTTCTTCCCGATCGCGGGGACTCTTATTTTGGCGGAACACAGCTCATTCGGTGGAGTGCTTCAGAGCGCAGTGCGCGCGCGATCCAGTCTGACATCAGCCGTTATCTTCAGTGAGAACGAGCCGTGAAATTCCCTTACTGAATGCCGTTATATGATCTTCGTTTTGTTCCTTTGAGTGTTTGAAGTTGTGTGCGTCCAGAGAGAAAACCACACACATATGCTGACCACTTCTATGGACATAAAGCACAAGATGATACCACTCAGTGTCAGTATTCATGCTCGTATTTGATATGTGTGCAGAGAGCACAGTTTAGTTCAACCTTCTATGATCTGGTTCTTCCCCTGCATATGCTTGTATAAATAAATCTGTTCAACTGGATTCCTTCCTCTACTTTGGTGTTCTAACCGGCACACCCGGACCAGCTCCATCTCATTAGCAGCGGCTAGCACCTTACAGTCCTTAGCACCTCAGTTACATTTGGTCCTTCGAGCCGGATACAAGCTGTTCCGGGAACATGCAACAAAGTGGTGAAGCATCCTGGGTCCCATCGACTCGACCTAAGAGGCAGCGGAGACCACCGCAGTATCTTGAGGATTATGAGGTTGGTCCAGTGAGACGACAGACATATGTTTCACCTCGTACAAGTTTGTTACAGCATGTGCATGGGCTAGAGGAGTGGAGCCCTCACCATGAGCAACATGACATCATGACTTTGCGTAAACATACACGCCACTTTCAAGTCAAGTGGCGTGTTATCTATACGCATTTTGAGCTATCCGCGTGTGTGTCCACGCCGAAATTAACCGTCATCTTTTGCGTGTATGTGTACGCCATTAAATGTCCGAGTGATTTCGCGTGTATGTACACGCCGTTAAATGTACGAGCGAAACGAAGCAAATTCTATATTTACATCTGTGGAGCAATATTTTTTTCCCTAGAATGGTAGGGGAAGACTCATAAATGGTATTAACCCCAGTGACGGGTAGGTTTAGGGACGGGGTTGGGGTAGGTCATATATTTATACAGTAATGTAACGTTAAGTCAAAGGCGTTGATAAACACGCTGAAAAGCGATTATGCGTGTTGATAGCACGCCAAAAATGGAAAAACGAATTGACGTGTCATACATACGCCATTTCATGAGATCAGTCTGCCATGAGGGAGCGGTTATGATGATGCCTGCTGACAATGCTCATGTCAAGAGGTCCCCTCGTCAGGATCAGTGGGACTCGGATATTAGTGAGCATGATGAAGAGTACTCTCCCAGCTATGATACACGTTCAGCTGGCCGACGTGCGGAGTGGACAGACACTCCGACACCCTATGCAGAGGACGGAAATGAGCTGTATGAGATGCGTAGAGAGAACACATCATTATGTAGACCCGAAGAGAGCAGGCAGAGCGGCCGTGCACAGCTTTGGGGGATTCAGAGGGAAACGTATTCTCCTGTGGCCTCAGTCAAGACACCGCAGAGGGCACGACAAGAACCGTGGCCAGTACCACCCCCTCCTCTAACGGATCACTTTCCGACCCGAGAGGAAGAAGTGGAGTATGACGACTGGCTACCGCCTCCACCATGGCCCTCTGCTGAACCACCTTCAATGCCTCCAGAGGGTGAGGAGACACAGATGGTCACTATGATAGATAGAATGATGAAGGAACTCCAGCTAATCAGGGATAGTGCTGCATCTAACTCCGCAACTAAAAGTCATCTTTCTTCAACCCCTAAGAGACCATCAGCTAGGAAGCTTCATGATATTCAGCCTCTGACTCACTGGTCGCAGTATTACTCACCAGGCACCAGCTCTCCTCCTGTCATGGACTCGGCTACATCCAGGCTTCCGCCTAAACACGTACCAGGGCCTCATATGAGTCATCGTACCCCCCCTCAAGAAGTACCATACCGGCCTTCATCAGTTATGGTGAAGGAAAAGGAATACCATGGGCCAAGACCGAAAATCCCCCTCTTCATCCATAGGGACCCCATTGAATTCTCCCGCCTGAAGCTCGTTGCCAAGGGATGCCACTGAGCTCTTTAAATATCAGGTTCTTGTGGACCATCTGAGGTTGGAGGAGGCTAGCCTTATAGCTGACTCATACATCAATTCGCCTATGCCGTACTCAGATACAATGGCCGCATTGAAGGAGAAGTTCGGTCAGCCACATCACGTCGCCTTAAAGAGAATCGCTGCTGTCATGGACTCACCAGAGATCAGGCGGGGAGATACAGTAGCCTTTGAGAAGTTTGCTTTGCATGTTCAGTCGCTAGTGGGCATGTTAAAGACCCTGGGCTCTAATGGAGAAGTTGAGCTGAGATGCGGCTCACACGTTGCACGACTGCTCACGAAAGTTCCGCCTGAGTTGAGGGCAAATTTCCGCCGTCAGATGTTCAATCGACCTGGCACTACTCATACCCTGCTTGACTTGGCAGAGTGGCTCCAGTATGAGTCGTGGTGTCAGAGTTATGACATCCCATCTGACACCCGAGTCCAAGCGTCCCTGAGCCATAAAGCTGAGAAGCATCACAGTAGATCAGCGGCTACCGTGCTACATGGGGCAGAGAGCTCTGGGGATAGTAAGGCCGCAAAGCGAGATGGTCAGAGTCCCTCAGATTTCAAAAGGAGAGGCAAGATAAAGCAGTATTGCCCATATTGCAAGAGTGCAGAACATTTCCTAAATAAGTGCCCAGCCATTCAGAAGTTCACAAGGGAGGAAGTCATACAATGGATCAAGGTGAATAAAAGATGCTGGAGATGTGGGAGGTCCCACCAAGCCGCACAGTGCGACCTCAAAAGACTCTGTGACCTGTGCCAAGGAAAGCACTTGAGAGTTCTCCACAGTGTGAACACCTGTCCCGCTGCAGAATCACCCAAAGTAGAGAGTTGTCTAGTTAACAACGGTACCGAGGTTCTTTACCTGGACCGGCCATCAACTTCCACTCGTGTCCTATTAAAGGTTGTGAGAGTGCTTCTTCGGAACAAGGACCATACTCTTGACACCTATGCGGTGTTGGATGATGGATCGGAACGCACGATGCTCCTTCCAGAAGCTGTTGACCGACTTGGATTGCAAGGTAGACCAGAGGATCTTGTCCTACGCACAATACGTCAGGATGTTCAAACGTTGAAGGGATCATCCGTCAAATTCTGCATATCACCCCTTGCATATCCCAGAAGAAGACCGTCTCAGTCTGGCGGATCACTCATATCCCATCTCCATGTTGAAGAGGAAATATAAACATCTGGCAGACCTCCCTATCGAACCATTCGAGCATGTCAAGCCACTTGTATTGATAGGAGCGGATCACCCCCATCTGCTCACTCCAGTCGAGCCAGTGAGGTTAGGCCCTCCAGGAGGGCCGGCAGCTATCCGTACAAAACTGGGTTGGACGCTTCAGGGGCACACAACAGTGCCTCCTTACCAGTGTTTCGCCTCAGACAACTGAGTTGATGAGGAATGTTGAGAAACTCTGGCAGATGGATGTGCTGCCTTTTCAGGCTGACAAGATGGTGGTGAGATCGAAGCAAGACAAGGAGGCAATAGAGCTCCTGGAGGCAAAGACAAGGAGGGTAGAAGTTGCTGGCATCCTCCGATATGCTACTCCTTTGCTACGGAAACCAGACATGCCCCTGTTTCAGGCATCCAAAGAGGCTGTTCTGCCGAGCTTGAGGAGTACAGAGAAGCGATTGGCTAAGGACCCTCAACGTGCCAGAGCCTACTGTGAGGCAATCGACCAGCTGGTACAATCAGGAGCTGTCAAGAAGTTGGGCCCAGATGAGATCTCAATGACTGGTGAAACATGGTACATACCTCATCACCTAGTTAGCCATAATGGGAAGAATCGGCTTGTTTTCAACTGTTCCTATCAGTTCCGGGGACTGAATCTGAATGATGCCCTTCTTCCAGGACCGACCTTGGGCGCATCTCTTCTTGGGGTCCTGCTGCACTTTAGGCAGCAAGCTGTAGCAATTAGTGGAGATATCAAGGGTATGTTCCACCAAGTCCAGCTTCTGCCAGAAGACCGGCCACTTCTCAGGTTTGTGTGGAGAGATATGAAGCGAGAGGATCCCCCTGACACCTTCGAGTGGCAAGTTCTGCCCTTTGGCACCACCTGCTCACCTTGTTGTGCCACCTTTGCTCTTCAACGGCATGCCAGAGATCACAGTGTTCCAGAAGATGGTGTCAGAGACTCTGTAGAACGCTGCTTCTATGTCGATAATTGCCTTCAGAGCGTGCCAACTGCAGCTGAAGCAAGGGGGTTGGTGGACAAACTCAGGGAGATTCTGGCATCAGGTGGGTTTGAGATCCATCAGTGGGCATGTAACATCCCAAGTGTCATCGGACATCTGCCAAAGGAAGCAAGGTCGGACAGTATGGAGCGCTGGCTCTCACATGATGACATAGGTCTGTCCGAATCAACACTTGGACTTAGTTGGCATTGGGAATCGGACGTCTTGGGGTATAAGAGCCACCCGCTGGACTATGGCATACTGACTATGCGCAATGTGTATAAAGTTCTGGCTCGGCAGTATGACCCTCTTGGGTTCGTATTACCCTACACAACCCGTGCCAAGTTGCTTGTCCAGAGCATGTGGGATAAGCATCGTCACTGGGACGACCCCCTCCTTCCTCAGGAGCTCCAGACAGCTTGGAAAGAGTGGGAAGCCGAACTCCATCTGTTGCCTCGCATAACCTTACCTCGATCTTATGTTCCAGCTCATGTGGGTCAAACGGTTGTATCTAGACAGATCCACATATTTAGCGATGCATCAGAGAAAGCCTACGGCTCTGTGTCCTACCTGCGGACCGAGGATACCCAAGGTCAAGTCTACCTGTCTTTACTGGCAGCGAGATCAAGAGTCGCTCCTCGGCGACGACACTCCATTCCACGTCTCGAGCTCTGTGGTGCCTTAACAGCAGCCCAACTGTCAAAGATGTTGGAGGGGGAGCTGACCTTGAAGGTTGATCAGACTATACTTTGGAGCGATTCAACCACGGTACTTACCTGGCTGCAGTCGGAGTCGTGCCATTTTAAAGTATTTGTGGGCACCCGTGTAACTGAAATTCAGGAACTCACAGAACCCAGCGCCTGGCGTTATGTGGACTCCTCACTGAATCCTGCCGATGATGTCACACGGGGTAAGACTCTTGGGGAGCTTGCCTTGCCTAATCGCTGGAGCCAAGGGCCCCCTTTCCTCCTCAAGGGACTCGACGAATGGCCATCCCAAGCACCTAAGCTGTCTGTTTCAGATTTGTCAGAGTACAGGAAGTCAGTCTCTTGTGGTATTGTCACTAACAGTGACTGGCCATGTTCTCTACAAGGTGGCCAACACACTTGGAAGGATCTCGTTGAGGCTACGGTGCGTGAGCTTCACGGGGCGGCTGGACAGGGTAGCGCTGTTATTGCTTCAGATTATCATCAAGCAGAAATGATAATCTACAAGAGAATCCAGCAAGACTGTTTCCCAGAGGAACGGCATCACCTCGAGAAGGGCAAGTCGGTACCGAATAGTAGTCGCCTACTTACCTTGTCCCCAGAGTTAGACCCTAAGGAGGCGATCATACGTGTTGGTGGTAGATTGCGGCGAGCTGAAGGTCTCGATTCTGCTTCTAAACACCCGATCGTCCTGGACCCTAGTCATCCAGCCACCAAGCTACTTATACAGGACTATGACGCTCGTCTCTGCCACCCTGGACCTGAACGGGTATTCGCAGAAATGCGTCGCACCTTTTGGATCCTGCGCGGGAGAGAGGCGATCCGTCATATTCAACATCTCTGTAAGGAGTGTCGAAGATGGAAGGCTAAGCCATCGGTGCCCAAGATGTCAGATTTACCTGTGGCCCGTCTGCGTCTATATAAGCCGGCCTTCTATTCCACAGGTGTAGACTGTTTTGGGCCTTTCCAGGTGAAGTTGGGACGCCGCTCTGAGAAGAGATGGGGTATTATTTACAAATGTCTCACTACGCGAGCGGTGCACCTGGACCTCTTACACAGCTTGGATTCAGAATCGTTTCTAATGAGCCTCAGGAGATTCATTGCCCGTAGAGGTACACCGGCTGAACTCTACTCGGATCAGGGCACAAATTTCAAGGCAGGAGAGAAAGAGCTTCGTGAGACATTTGACAGTCTATCCTCAGAGCTTCAGCAACTTCTAGCGAAGCAGAAGATTGCCTTCCACTTCAACCCCCCGGCAGCACCCCATTTCGGTGGGGCATGGGAGCGAGAGATAAGATCGGTCAAATCTGCTTTGTATACAGTTATAGGAGCTCAATCAGTCTCCGAAGTAGTACTCCGTACCGTCTTGTTGGAAGTTGAGGCGATACTGAACACAAAGCCACTGGGATATACCTCAGCCAACATAGCAGATCTAGATGCAATTACTCCGAACATCCTCCTGATGGGGCGGCTAGATGGTGCTTTGCCCCAGGTGGTATACAACAAGAGTGAAGGCTTGAGCAGGAGAAGATGGAGGCACTGTCAGGTCTTGGCAGACCACTTCTGGTCTAGGTTTATAAGGTACTACTTGCCCACCCTGCAGCCTCGACAGAAGTGGCATACCACCGCAGTAGATCTTGCGGTCAACTCCGTTGTTCTGATGATGGACCCGCAGCTTCCCAGGGCTCTTTGGCCAGTCGGCAGAGTGACTAAGGTACATCAGAGCGCTGATAGTCGTGTAAGGTCAGTAGATGTCCGGATCAAGGACAAAGTGTACACCAGACCAGTTGCCCGTCTCATCGCCCTTCCAGCTATCCCAGATTCATAGGAGGAAGGCAATTCCGTTGTAGTGCCCACGGATGAGGCTGAGCAGTGAGCCTTTCTTGGGAGCAAATTGCATGCAATTTGGGGGCGGCTGTGAGAAAGTCTCACTAATGACACTGATTTATGATGTGGATGTACAAGATCGCTTTCTTCCCGATCGCGGGGACTCTTATTTTGGCGGAACACAGCTCATTCGGTGGAGTGCTTCAGAGCGCAGTGCGCGCGCGATCCAGTCTGACATCAGCCGTTATCTTCAGTGAGAACGAGCCGTGAAATTCCCTTACTGAATGCCGTTATATGATCTTCGTTTTGTTCCCTTGAGTGTTTGAAGTTGTGTGCGTCCAGAGAGAAAACCACACACATATGCTGACCACTTCTATGGACATAAAGCACAAGACGATACCACTCAGTGTCAGTATTCATGCTCGTATTTGATATGTGTGCAGAGAGCACAGTTTAGTTCAACCTTCTATGATCTGGTTCTTCCCCTGCATATGCTTGTATAAATAAATCTGTTCAACTGGATTCCTTCCTCTACTTTGGTGTTCTAACCGGCACACCCGGACCAGCTCCATCTCATTAGCAGCGGCTAGCACCTTACAGTCCTTAGCACCTCAGTTACACCCCCTGTGGTGTAAATCCAGCGTTTAATGTTGTTTATGTGTCTATGTGGTGTTTTTAATACGCTTTAAGACACACTATGTGTAAGTTCATAAGTCGACAGCATTGCTGAGTATTTGCTGCTTAAAACTGCAGTGAACCAAAGACAGTCTCAAAAACACGGTTTGAAATCGCTGGTGATTCTGACGTCACAAACGACCTTGTAACCAATCAGATCAACGTGTGATCGTCAACCAGTGGATCTCTGAGCTGAGTGAGTGAGTGGAGGCGGGGCTCATTTGCATATTCATAGAACCGCGCATACTAAATGAGGCGAGGGTGTCGGGTTACATTCAAGCTATTTTAAGACATGATTAAAAAAAATATGTAATTTTGGTGATCAAAGATGAGTTTTAAGAGATAAAATGATTGACTACAGGGGGACTTTCTTTTGACTGGTAGTGTATGCATTGTAATATAACCATGATAACTATATAAGCACATCTTATGCCCGTGTTTGGCGTCACACACACCTGGAAGTCGTTCTGAAGCCCGTACTTGCAGCCTCCCTCTCTGCAGATGGAGAAGTCGAATCCGAGCGAGCAAGAAGCGTCGGTGCAGTTCTCCAGCGAGCCCACGATCGTGTCGTTATCATCGCCTGTGGCGTCGCGCACGATACAAGAGCCTGAAACACAGCAAACGCACAACGTCACGTCTGACCCGAGACTCCACACGACAAGTTCAGGTTCAAATTTACTTGTATAGTACATTTAAAAACAACCACAGTTGACCAAAGTGCTTAGCAATGTCAGGATACACACAAATAAACAAATAAACAAAAAAACAAACACAGTAGAGAATGTCATAGTTGCAAAACTCAACTCGAAATGAAAGCTAAGGAATAAAAGTGGGTCTTAAGCAATGACTTAACCCCACCCCTAATCCCTAACCCCACCCCTAATCCTACCCATCTCCGCCCCCTGATCCCTAACCCCACCCCTAATCCTACCCATCTCCGCCCCCTGATCCCTAACCACACCCCTAATCCTACCCATCTCCGCCCCCTGATCCCTAACCCCACCCCTAATCCTACCCATCTCCACCCCCTGATCCCTAACCCCACCCCTAATCCTACCCATCTCCCCCTGATCCCTAACCACACCCCTAATCCTACCCATCTCCGCCCCCTGATCCCTAACCCCACCCCTAATCCTACCCATCTCCGCCCCCTGATCCCTAACCACACCCCTAATCCTACCCATCTCCGCCCCCTGATCCCTAACCCCACCCCTAATCCTACCCATCTCCGCCCCCTGATCCCTAACCCCACCCCTAATCCTACCCATCTCCGCCCCCTGATCCCTAACCACACCCCTAATCCTACCCATCTCCGCCCCCTGATCCCTAACCCCACCCCTAATCCTACCCATCTCCGCCCCCTGATCCCTAACCCCACCCCTAATCCTACCCATCTCCGCCCCCTGATCCCTAACCCCACCCCTAATCCTACCCATCTCCCCCTGATCCCTAACCACACCCCTAATCCTACCCATCTCCGCCCCCTGATCCCTAACCCCACCCCTAATCCTACCCATCTCCGCCCCCTGATCCCTAACCACACCCCTAATCCTACCCATCTCCGCCCCCTGATCCCTAACCCCACCCCTAATCCTACCCATCTCCGCCCCCTGATCCCTAACCCCACCCCTAATCCTACCCATCTCCCCCTGATCCCTAACCACACCCCTAATCCTACCCATCTCCGCCCCCTGATCCCTAACCCCACCCCTAATCCTACCCATCTCCGCCCCCTGATCCCTAACCACACCCCTAATCCTACCCATCTCCGCCCCCTGATCCCTAACCCCACCCCTAATCCTACCCATCTCCGCCCCCTGATCCCTAACCCCACCCCTAATCCTACCCATCTCCGCCCCCTGATCCCTAACCCCACCCCTAATCCTACCCATCTCCGCCCCCTGATCCCTAACCCCACCCCTAATCCTACCCATCTCCGCCCCCTGATCCCTAACCCCACCCCTAATCCTACCCATCTCCGCCCCCTGATCCCTAACCCCACCCCTAATCCTACCCATCTCCGCCCCCTGATCCCTAACCCCACCCCTAATCCTACCCATCTCCGCCCCTTAGATCTGGATCCAACTCCGCCCCCTGGATCTCGTGTACTGCAATGAGGTGCTACTGATCCTATAGGCTAAAATCTCTGTCTCTGATCGTTAGTTGGACATGTTCACCGACAGCCGATGACCGTTGCGATCACATTTGACCTCCGACGAGATTCTGGCGTGTCAGGACATTTTCTTGCGTGCGTCTGTTGTCGTACAGTGTGACATTAATGACAACTGAGATCTTCATGATCAGCGACCATCATGTTCGTACAGTCTGACAAGCAACAATCGTAAAGGACTATTATAATAAAATCACACAGTGTGCATCCGGCTTTAAAAATGTCAGCAGTCCGAGCTGTTCTTATATGACCCGGTGACCAGCCTCTGAGAAGACTCGGCCATCTTTATATTTTAACCCTGATCTCAGAACATCTGTGTTGAAGATTTTATTATTTAGAAAACAAGTCATTTAGCCTTATAAGAATACACAATTATTTCTTGTATGAGTCCTCTAAAAGGACTCTGTATAGGTGACTTTGAAAGCTGCAAGACCTTCTGTAAAAAGACCCTGAATGTCAGTTCTATTCTGAGAAGTCACATGGTACAAGACCTTCACCCAAAACTATCTATAAGTGTATGACCATCTTTGGAAAAGGATGTATGGATATATGTGAGAAGCTGGGCACTGATCAGGAGTGATCGCCTGCAGGAGGAAGGGATCTCCTGCTGGAGGGAGTGATCCCCTGCAGGAGATGCTCGGCTTTGTTTGTTAATAAAGTCTATTATTTCTGGCATCAAAGATCTCTGCGAAGTTATTTTACAGAACAATTGAAACCACTTCAAGTGCTCTCACAGGAGTGTGGACGTGTAAAAGCTCTGATAAATTAGAAGGAGCCAACCCATTCAAAATCTTCAAAACAAGCAATGTTTTAATCTTATCTTTAGACAGTCAGAGGAAGAGCATTACCGTTTGAGAAGGCGACAGCGATGTAAACCACTCCGGTTATGAGGATCGCCAGGAGAGTTCCTTTGGGAATCGCTGACTGCGGATCCTAGAGACGGCAGATGTTACAAACATCATCTCTTATGAAAATCCACAGAATCTCAAACATAATCCTTGAGAGAAATGCACTGAAATTTCTGCAACCAAAAATTCAGTTGAAACGCCCGAGATTATTGACCGAATCAGTGACGTTTTTCCAGTAACATTAACATTAATAAAGACCAGATATATTTGAACCAACGTTCTATTAATGTTCTCAAAATGTTAGAACAAAAACATTATTTCTACATCATTCATGGAAAGAAAAATTATGTTACATTTCAGTTGGACGTTCATCTAATGTTTTTTAAATGTTACTAATTGTTCCAGAACTTTCAGAGAACATTCAAAAGTAACGTTCCCTAACGTTTGCATAACCAGAGAAGAAAAACGTTTTTAAAACTGGACATTTTGTGTCTCTTTAATGTGTGCGACATCTCTTCCTCTTCACTACTAGTTACAGCAGCAAATAAACATGAATATGAACATCAGAAGGAATGATGAAAGATTCAGAACAACTTCCTGAAATCAATCATGTCTCCTGTAATCCATCAATAAAACCGCTTCAAACGTCACATTCACCTCCAGATCAGCTAGAAAAATGATTCATATGTGCACATATTCATGATATTTTTACTTTACCAGTGGTCTTACATATTTAATGCATGTTTGAATAAATTCATAATGAAAACAAGTTAAGACAGCCAGCGTTTAAATGTTTATATAGCAACAAATTGGAGTAGAAAATTTAAATTTGACTTAAAAGACAGCAATGTTTGCAAAACTTGATTATTAAATAAATTCGATTAAATCAACTATATGTTTGGTTTTGTGTTCTGGCTGAAAGCTTTGGTCCACAGTATTGGAGTGCATGTCTTGTTGAGCGAGGACAATCTCTCACCGCCAGGTCTCCGGATATGTTGGCTCCTGCTAGGATCCCGGTGGCGGCCGGGAAGAAGATGGCAAACACTGAGAAGAAGGTTTCTTCATCCCTGAAGTCTGGACCCATGTTCTCCATCATTATGGCAGCTTGGAGAGGAGAGTATGAAGAATCAGCATGAACACAATCTGGGCCCAGGGCATCTTATTCCTACAACATCATGAAACATTCTGCATATGGATCATATCTGTCAGTCTGTCTCCCTCATAGCGTGCAGCCGTGCACGTGAACAAATATGAAACTGCATGACCAAAAAACACAATGAGCGATGACGAGCATGTAGCTCTAATTAAAATGCCAATTTTCTTACAAAAATACTTTCTAAATTAAAGACCCGCTGAAACCAAAATGAAGTTTTATAGCTTTGAGTATGAATATGAATATGTTCACCTTAAGGTTATGAATAAGCTTCCAAACAATGACAAGATTCGCATTTAGGAGATTAGAAGCATTACAGTCTCTCACTTCCGCTAAAATGGATCAGAGACTTCACCGCTTCTCATCACATCTTCTGTCCAATCAAACGCTCTCTAGAATCTAAAGCTCCGCCCCCTTTGCTATAAACACCACCTGACTGAAGCGACCGTTGACAGACACGGAGAAATATGTGTTGGAGATGTTATATATATATATATGTGTGTTCGGTCGCTCAAACGCTCGAGTTTTATTCTGTTTTCCAACTGTACGTTGCCCAAGAATGAAATGGCTAGAATTTATTCACACTTCTGTTATTGAATCCAACGTATCGTCAGCGCTCGGATTCGCTTCTAATGGTGTTGTCAGTCTGTGAGGGAAACGAAACGCTATTGGCTATTTGAAAAGGAGGAGGAGCCAATCAATAAGTCCCGCCTTTGCTTCCTGTTTCAGTGGAGATTACGTCAACGCATCAAACAAAGCTGCGATCCAAGGCACTTCAGTGGGACTTTAAATATCACTTTTCCATACTGTATCATAAGAGTCATCAGATTAACTCCTCCTGGACTGATTCATTCTGATCATAGATTCATATCAAACTAAAGCAGAAGAGCAGAGACGTCCCACCGTTATAACTGAAGAAGCCTTTGGGCTCCTTTGACTCCATCGGGATGAAGGATCCGATGAAGTAGTTGAATATCGCCGCCACAAGAATCACCAATAACACAATCTGGGCCTGTCGAAGATAATCAATATATCACGAGAATAATAACTACTGCAAGAAGAAATCTGAATCCACATAGGAATACACTGACCTTCGCTTCCCACTCCATTCCAGCGATGGAGATTCCCAGCAGTAGAATAACAGTGAGCGTTCCCACGATCCTGATGTCATTGATCTCATCGGTCATCAGAGCGTCGATACTCTGACAAACACAGTTTACATCATAACACTTTAGATTAAGAAGGAATCTATATGGGTCATATATGTCAAAATGCTTTTCTTACTTAGTATTTGTGTCTTGTTTCCAGTCCAAATATCAAACATTTCTTAAATCAAGATGCATTTACTAAAGTACTAAAATGACATAAGAAATTAAGTCTTGATTTCTGGGGAAATAAATCAAAATTAAGTGAGTTTTTGCTTAAAACAAGCAAAATAATCTTGTTTCTGTTTGAGTTAACATAATTTTTCTGACCCCATTGGCAGATAATTTAGCTTTTTTTTAAGCATCAACTCACTTAATTTGATTAATTCCCCCGGAAAACGGGACATAATATCTTATCTCATGTTACTCATCTAGTAAATGCATCTTGATTTAAGAATTTTTAGATATTTGGACTGGAAACTGCAAAAATACTAAGTAAGAAAAGCATTTTTTGCAGTGTAGAAGGCATGCACATTAAATAATGAAAATTCATGCTTACTCGTCTTCATCATCTATTCATCTAAGGCTTTTGGGTTCATACTCACATCCAGAAGTTCCACGACAGTTTCTGCGAAACCCACGACGTACATGGCCACAGCGACGGCATTGGCGAAGGCAAAGATCAGGCCGATGGATCCTCCAAACTCGGGCCCCAGACTCCTGGAGATCAGGTAATACGCCCCGCCTACACACAGTCACATTCACAGTCACTTTAGATGAAATTATGACTCAAACATTCAGAACAGAAGGTAGAAAGGGAATAGAACATCAGCAACAATAAAAAAAAAACTCATAGCAATAAACAAAAAAAAGATGTATACATTCAAATATACCATAATAATTTAGCAATTGTTTTTATTTTTGGAAGAATTTTTTTTTTTGCATTAACTTTTTTTTATATTTTTATGTCATTCATTATCATAAATCATGTAAATTATATTTAATTTAGTTGGAATTTGTTCATTTATGGAAGAAAAACAAAGTTGCAAAAAATATACAAATAAATGCTAAACTAAAAAACAACAACTAAAAGTTCACTGTAAATCTTTACATTGTTTTTATTCAAAAATAAACAAATTCTAACTTCATATAATATAACTGATATATGATTAACTAAATTATAATATAAATGAGTTCACGATAAATCCAAAGATAATTAGCAATTTAGTCATCTAATTAGCAAATAATGTGATTGTTTATTACACTGTTAAGAATAGCTTAAGCACAGTTTAATTAATCTGCAAAAATCATACTAATTTTGACCATTTATTTTTAAAAAAATCTCTAGCTATTTGAACTCTTGAATTTTTTTTCTAACAAATAATAATGTTTTAGATATAAATACAGGTATTGTATACAGGTTTTTTTTTAAAGTAATGAATACTTTTATGAATCAAAGACACATTAAATTGATCAACAGTGACAGTAAAGACATTTATAATGTTCCAAAAGATTATATCTCAAATAAATGCTGTTCTTTTGAACTTTCTAAAAATCAAAGAATCCTGAAAAATAAAATACATCACAGTTTCCACAAAAATATGAACACTGCTAATAATCATAAATGTTTCTTGAGCATCAGATCCTCATATTAGAGTGATTTCTGAAGGATCATGTGACACTGAAGACTGGAGTAATGATGCTGGAAATCACAGGAATAAATTACACTTTACTGTATATTCACATAGAAAACAGATGATTTACACTGTAAAATACTGTATTTTTGATCAAATAAACGCATGTTTCTGGGTCTACTGTAAGTGTGGTGTGTGAGCATGTTTCTGGGTCTACTGTAAGTGTAGTGTGTGAGCATGTTTCTGGGTCTACTGTAAGTGTGGTGTGTGAGCATGTTTCTGGGTCTACTGTAAGTGTGGTGTGTGAGCATGTTTCTGAGTCTACTGTAAGTGTGGTGTGTGAGCATGTTTCTGGGTCTACTGTAAGTGTGGTGTGTGAGCATGTTTCTGGGTCTACTGTAAGTGTAGTGTGTGAGCATGTTTCTGGGTCTACTGTAAGTGTGGTGTGTGAGCATGTTTCTGGGTCTACTGTAAGTGTAGTGTGTGAGCATGTTTCTGGGTCTACTGTAAGTGTGGTGTGTGAGCATGTTTCTGGGTCTACTGTAAGTGTGGTGTGTGAGCATGTTTCTGGGTCTACTGTAAGTGTGGTGTGTGAGCATGTTTCTGGGTCTACTGTAAGTGTAGTGTGTGAGCATGTTTCTGGGTCTACTGTAAGTGTGGTGTGTGAGCATGTTTCTGGGTCTACTGTAAGTGTAGTGTGTGAGCATGTTTCTGGGTCTACTGTAAGTGTGGTGTGTGAGCATGTTTCTGGGTCTACTGTAAGTGTAGTGTGTGAGCATGTTTCTGGGTCTACTGTAAGTGTAGTGTGTGAGCATGTTTCTGGGTCTACTGTAAGTGTGGTGTGTGAGCATGTTTCTGGGTCTACTGTAAGTGTAGTGTGTGAGCATGTTTCTGGGTCTACTGTAAGTGTAGTGTGTGAGCATGTTTCTGGGTCTACTGTAAGTGTAGTGTGTGAGCATGTTTCTGGGTCTACTGTAAGTGTGGTGTGTGAGCATGTTTCTGGGTCTACTGTAAGTGTAGTGTGTGAGCATGTTTCTGGGTCTACTGTAAGTGTAGTGTGTGAGCATGTTTCTGGGTCTACTGTAAGTGTAGTGTGTGAGCATGTTTCTGGGTCTACTGTAAGTGTAGTGTGTGAGCATGTTTCTGGGTCTACTGTAAGTGTAGTGTGTGAGCATGTTTCTGGGTCTACTGTAAGTGTAGTGTGTGAGCATGTTTCTGGGTCTACTGTAAGTGTAGTGTGTGAGCATGTTTCTGGGTCTACTGTAAGTGTAGTGTGTGAGCATGTTTCTGGGTCTACTGTAAGTGTAGTGTGTGAGCATGTTTCTGGGTCTACTGTAAGTGTGGTGTGTGAGCATGTTTCTGGGTCTACTGTAAGTGTAGTGTGTGAGCATGTTTCTGGGTCTACTGTAAGTGTAGTGTGTGAGCATGTTTCTGGGTCTACTGTAAGTGTGGTGTGTGAGCATGTTTCTGGGTCTACTGTAAGTGTAGTGTGTGAGCATGTTTCTGGGTCTACTGTAAGTGTAGTGTGTGAGCATGTTTCTGGGTCTACTGTAAGTGTGGTGTGTGAGCATGTTTCTGGGTCTACTGTAAGTGTAGTGTGTGAGCATGTTTCTGGGTCTACTGTAAGTGTAGTGTGTGAGCATGTTTCTGGGTCTACTGTAAGTGTGGTGTGTGAGCATGTTTCTGGGTCTACTGTAAGTGTAGTGTGTGAGCATGTTTCTGGGTCTACTGTAAGTGTAGTGTGTGAGCATGTTTCTGGGTCTACTGTAAGTGTGGTGTGTGAGCATGTTTCTGGGTCTACTGTATAAGTGTAGTGTGTGAGCATGTTTCTGGGTCTACTGTAAGTGTAGTGTGTGAGCATGTTTCTGGGTCTACTGTAAGTGTAGTGTGTGAGCATGTTTCTGGGTCTACTGTAAGTGTGGTGTGTGAGCATGTTTCTGGGTCTACTGTAAGTGTAGTGTGTGAGCATGTTTCTGGGTCTACTGTAAGTGTGGTGTGTGAGCATGTTTCTGGGTCTACTGTAAGTGTAGTGTGTGAGCATGTTTCTGGGTCTACTGTAAGTGTGGTGTGTGAGCATGTTTCTGGGTCTACTGTAAGTGTAGTGTGTGAGCATGTTTCTGGGTCTACTGTAAGTGTGGTGTGTGAGCATGTTTCTGGGTCTACTGTAAGTGTAGTGTGTGAGCATGTTTCTGGGTCTACTGTAAGTGTAGTGTGTGAGCATGTTTCTGAGTCTACTGTAAGTGTAGTGTGTGAGCATGTTTCTGGGTCTACTGTAAGTGTAGTGTGTGAGCATGTTTCTGGGTCTACTGTAAGTGTAGTGTGTGAGCATGTTTCTGGGTCTACTGTAAGTGTAGTGTGTGAGCATGTTTCTGGGTCTACTGTAAGTGTAGTGTGTGAGCATGTTTCTGGGTCTACTGTAAGTGTGGTGTGTGAGCATGTTTCTGGGTCTACTGTAAGTGTAGTGTGTGAGCATGTTTCTGGGTCTACTGTAAGTGTGGTGTGTGAGCATGTTTCTGGGTCTACTGTAAGTGTAGTGTGTGAGCATGTTTCTGGGTCTACTGTAAGTGTAGTGTGTGAGCATGTTTCTGGGTCTACTGTAAGTGTAGTGTGTGAGCATGTTTCTGGGTCTACTGTAAGTGTAGTGTGTGAGCATGTTTCTGGGTCTACTGTAAGTGTAGTGTGTGAGCATGTTTCTGGGTCTACTGTAAGTGTGGTGTGTGAGCATGTTTCTGGGTCTACTGTATAAGTGTAGTGTGTGAGCATGTTTCTGGGTCTACTGTAAGTGTAGTGTGTGAGCATGTTTCTGAGTCTACTGTAAGTGTAGTGTGTGAGCATGTTTCTGGGTCTACTGTAAGTGTGGTGTGTGAGCATGTTTCTGAGTCTACTGTAAGTGTAGTGTGTGAGCATGTTTCTGGGTCTACTGTAAGTGTAGTGTGTGAGCATGTTTCTGAGTCTACTGTAAGTGTAGTGTGTGAGCATGTTTCTGGGTCTACTGTAAGTGTGGTGTGTGAGCATGTTTCTGGGTCTACTGTAAGTGTGGTGTGTGAGCATGTTTCTGAGTCTACTGTAAGTGTAGTGTGTGAGCATGTTTCTGGGTCTACTGTAAGTGTAGTGTGTGAGCATGTTTCTGAGTCTACTGTAAGTGTAGTGTGTGAGCATGTTTCTGGGTCTACTGTAAGTGTAGTGTGTGAGCATGTTTCTGGGTCTACTGTAAGTGTAGTGTGTGAGCATGTTTCTGGGTCTACTGTAAGTGTGGTGTGTGAGCATGTTTCTGAGTCTACTGTAAGTGTAGTGTGTGAGCATGTTTCTGGGTCTACTGTAAGTGTAGTGTGTGAGCATGTTTCTGGGTCTACTGTAAGTGTGGTGTGTGAGCATGTTTCTGGGTCTACTGTAAGTGTGGTGTGTGAGCATGTTTCTGAGTCTACTGTAAGTGTAGTGTGTGAGCATGTTTCTGGGTCTACTGTAAGTGTGGTGTGTGAGCATGTTTCTGAGTCTACTGTAAGTGTGGTGTGTGAGCATGTTTCTGGGTCTACTGTAAGTGTGGTGTGTGAGCATGTTTCTGAGTCTACTGTAAGTGTAGTGTGTGAGCATGTTTCTGAGTCTACTGTAAGTGTGGTGTGTGAGCATGTTTCTGAGTCTACTGTAAGTGTAGTGTGTGAGCATGTTTCTGAGTCTACTGTAAGTGTGGTGTGTGAGCATGTTTCTGGGTCTACTGTAAGTGTGGTGTGTGAGCATGTTTCTGGGTCTACTGTAAGTGTAGTGTGTGAGCATGTTTCTGGGTCTACTGTAAGTGTAGTGTGTGAGCATGTTTCTGGGTCTACTGTAAGTGTAGTGTGTGAGCATGTTTCTGGGTCTACTGTAAGTGTGGTGTGTGAGCATGTTTCTGGGTCTACTGTAAGTGTGGTGTGTGAGCATGTTTCTGGGTCTACTGTAAGTGTGGTGTGTGAGCATGTTTCTGGGTCTACTGTAAGTGTGGTGTGTGAGCATGTTTCTGGGTCTACTGTAAGTGTGGTGTGTGAGCATGTTTCTGGGTCTACTGTAAGTGTAGTGTGTGAGCATGTTTCTGGGTCTACTGTAAGTGTGGTGTGTGAGCATGTTTCTGAGTCTACTGTAAGTGTAGTGTGTGAGCATGTTTCTGGGTCTACTGTAAGTGTAGTGTGTGAGCATGTTTCTGAGTCTACTGTAAGTGTAGTGTGTGAGCATGTTTCTGGGTCTACTGTAAGTGTGGTGTGTGAGCATGTTTCTGAGTCTACTGTAAGTGTAGTGTGTGAGCATGTTTCTGGGTCTACTGTAAGTGTAGTGTGTGAGCATGTTTCTGAGTCTACTGTAAGTGTAGTGTGTGAGCATGTTTCTGGGTCTACTGTAAGTGTGGTGTGTGAGCATGTTTCTGGGTCTACTGTAAGTGTGGTGTGTGAGCATGTTTCTGGGTCTACTGTAAGTGTGGTGTGTGAGCATGTTTCTGGGTCTACTGTAAGTGTGGTGTGTGAGCATGTTTCTGGGTCTACTGTAAGTGTGGTGTGTGAGCATGTTTCTGGGTCTACTGTATAAGTGTAGTGTGTGAGCATGTTTCTGGGTCTACTGTAAGTGTAGTGTGTGAGCATGTTTCTGGGTCTACTGTAAGTGTAGTGTGTGAGCATGTTTCTGGGTCTACTGTAAGTGTGGTGTGTGAGCATGTTTCTGGGTCTACTGTAAGTGTGGTGTGTGAGCATGTTTCTGGGTCTACTGTAAGTGTAGTGTGTGAGCATGTTTCTGGGTCTACTGTAAGTGTAGTGTGTGAGCATGTTTCTGGGTCTACTGTAAGTGTAGTGTGTGAGCATGTTTCTGGGTCTACTGTAAGTGTAGTGTGTGAGCATGTTTCTGGGTCTACTGTAAGTGTGGTGTGTGAGCATGTTTCTGGGTCTACTGTAAGTGTGGTGTGTGAGCATGTTTCTGGGTCTACTGTAAGTGTGGTGTGTGAGCATGTTTCTGGGTCTACTGTATAAGTGTAGTGTGTGAGCATGTTTCTGGGTCTACTGTAAGTGTAGTGTGTGAGCATGTTTCTGGGTCTACTGTAAGTGTAGTGTGTGAGGATGTTTCTGGGTCTACTGTAAGTGTGGTGTGTGAGCATGTTTCTGGGTCTACTGTAAGTGTGGTGTGTGAGCATGTTTCTGGGTCTACTGTAAGTGTAGTGTGTGAGCATGTTTCTGGGTCTACTGTAAGTGTAGTGTGTGAGCATGTTTCTGGGTCTACTGTAAGTGTAGTGTGTGAGCATGTTTCTGGGTCTACTGTAAGTGTAGTGTGTGAGCATGTTTCTGGGTCTACTGTAAGTGTAGTGTGTGAGCGCGCTGACCTCCGCGCACGAAGCCGTTGGTGGCGATCGCTGACGTCGACAGGCCGGTGATGGTCGTCACCACGATGGCCATGAGGACGATGGCACAGGACAGAGCTGGATAAGAACAACCACACATTCATCATCTATAATCATACACCGCAAACCAATCCAGAATGTTCTAATCCAATCAGACTTCTGATCTGTAATGCTCCTGAATCATAATCATAATCATACACTGTTGGTTCGTTGGCCAGAGGAGAACCGAGCGACTGAGTCTGGTTTCTCACAAGAGTTTTTGGTTCCTTCACTGTTGCTTTTGTCTTGCTTAGGACATTTAATTTAATATTCAACAATATTATTAATCTCCTGCATTGACACTATTATACAAGAACTGAACTGAGCTGGACGATGACATCACGGTTTACTCCAGAGCGGCTATATATATATATATGAACTAAATTAATAACTTTTTTAAACAAAAATGAACTGAACTGACTGAAGCTGGACTGTGACGCTATTTTCTTCTAGACTCATTATTGTCCTGTTATCTCTGTGAAGCTGCTCGGACACACTGTGTGCTGTAACAGCGCTGTATTAATAAGGAGGCGTGAGCGGATCCGCGTACCGATGCCAGCCTGACCCACGATCCACGACATCCGGATGAACAGCATCACTCCCCAGATGTTCAGCATGCATCGTATCTGCACACAGTCATCAAACAAATTACATAATTCTGTGTTATGCAGGCCAGACATGTAATTAATATGCTTTTTTAGAATTAATGCTTATATTAACGTTTTTTAAATGTGATATCCTAAAATTAGCATAAAAATAGGTGGATGGAAACATACCTGCATTATTGGACTGTTAAAAGTGCCAGATTGGAGTCAGACATAATCTATATCTATAGAGTAAACACGTGATGTGCATGTGTGTGCCGTCAGCGTTTCACAGAGTCACGTTTCTGAAGTTTACTCAGAGATGATCACGCTTTTCTACATTTTTCAAAACTTGCACCTTGGATCCTGTTTCAAAGTGTGTGTTCTCGAGCTCAAACACTGATGTGTGTGAATGAACGGCCAGAACACATTAACAGTTTCTGTCTTCAGTTAAATTAAGTTAATATCTAATGATCTTTACAACGGAAGTGAATCAATCAAAACTAACTTCATCTGGACAATAACTTTATTCTAGATCTGCTGTAAAGCCTAAACACTCTCTGTTACTGTAAAGGTACAATATGTAATTGTTTTCGCCGCTAGCGGTCGCTTACCTCTTACAATAACACAGGCGTAGGTTGATGACGCAGTGAATAAGCGGAATTATGGAACTTGTCGTCATGCCGATGGATCTAATAATGTTTCTGGATGAGTGAATGATGTTTGCATCATGACTGTGGCGTATGAAGCGCGAGTGCTAATGAGAGACAGATCACAGCGCCACACGCGAGTCCCGCGGATATAAAGGAATAAGGACATTTCATTCTACCGAACTACACACAAGTGCTGTATTACTCACTCAGATCAGTGTATTAGACGAGTGAAGTGTGTGAGGGAACGCAGCGCTCCTTCTCTTGCTCTACACCAGGGGTGTCAAATTCAAACTCAGTAAGGGCCATGCTGAGGGTTGTGAATAAAATCAGGGGCCGGATATATGTTTAGAGGATTTTTCATTTATTGAAATATAAGTGTATTAGTAGGCTAACTGTATAAAAAAACATCTCAATTCTTTAAACTACATTATCATAACAAGGTTTTATTTTTTAATTTTGAGTAATAACACATTTTTACATATTTCACAAAACATGTGTCAGGAGCAAAGTCTCTGACCAGCATAACTGCATAACAGTAATTTAAAACAGTGGCAAAAAACAGTACTTTAAAACAAACAGTACTCTAAAAAAAAAATTCATAAAACTGTTTGATAAAGCAAAATATTCAACAAATGGTAGATAATTATAGATGAATGTATTGATAACAAATGACATCTGAAAATGTTATTATTTGGCTTATTTTGAGTGGGGGTTCAATCTTCAGCTGGCTGGCAGTGGCTGGCTGGCAGCTGCCAGTCTGAGCCTGGCATGTCACGTGACCTGCCAGTGGCTGGCTAGTTGTCTGGCAGTCTGCCTTTGGCAAGTTTCAGAAACCATTGATTTTTGACAGTTTTTGTGTTTTGTGTTCCTCCCTTTCTAGCTCATTTATTATGCATCTGTTGATATGATTATGTTCTTTAGTATGATTGCTGTTTTGAGGACTGTTATCCCAATATAACCAGTCAAATGGCCGTGATCCGACTGGCAGCTTACAGACGCTTGCTCGACGCTCATCCAGTCAGTCGCGGCTCATATGCGAGTATAACGCGTTGCCTGACACTCTCGCTGCATGGAAATAAATTTTTTATTTATTATTATTATTATTACTTTATAATATTTTAACAAAAATGAAATTAAATGCGCTTATTTAATGGCCACAACACACATATAGTGGGCCTGACCCTCTAAATATTGAAACAATTAACATTAACAATGCTGAAGTGCAGTTAATTAATAGTAAATGTTAACTAATCTAATTAAGTGTTACCGATTTTTTATACACCGATTCAGAGGTCTCATGAGTTCAGTGTTGGACATGTCAATTGTTTTAACTATTCATTAAAGTGAATGGTTAAAATGAGTCATTCGTTTGCGTATCGGACGTGTCATTAGTGGACGTCTACGGCACGCTTGTGATTATCTCGGCAGTTTAGGACATCGTACAAGATTTGCGTCAATACAGAAAACATATCACTGGATAGGTTTTTTCGTTTATTGAAATGTGGTTTAGGTCAGCTGAATGGGCGGAACGCTTTTTAGAGACGATAAGCTAGGCAACGTGTTTTTTTTAGCACAATTCACACACCGCCGTAATTCAGGAGAACAAATCTCCAAATGCTCCACGTGAAACTGCGGTCTTCCGACCTTTTACTATCGTGTCAATTGATTTTGATTAATATGCGCGAGAAGTGTTTGAAGACGTGACTGTGCGTTCACACCGGACGCGAATAGCGCGTCAAATTCGCGTCTACCGCGTCTAGTTTGACGCTTGACCACTTTGTGTTAATTCGCGTGTCAATGGCGAAATTGACGCGCGTAACAACAAAAGTTTGAAGCGAAATTTACGCGCGTCAGAGGCGAAATCCGGAGGCGAAAGTTTCGAAACCCGTTGGCGGCCATCTTTTTAGATGTTTATCGAGCATTAGCATTAGCATTATTCGAGAGAGTCACCGCTCGTATATGCTCTGGAGAGCAGAAACAGCTGCGTAGGGGACATCGTCGCTGTACTCGGGTCCACCAGAACCTCCGGAGGGTTTCAGGAGTTTCACAATTTGCTCCAGGAGCTAGGTTTGGTCGACCTAATGGTGAGGATGCTGACGAGGACAGCGTAGGCCGTATAAGCCCTCGGCCTCGAGTGGTCTATGCCTGTCGAGCCCGCGCTCTACAGTCCGGCGCGAGGTTCATCCTCGCCCGCATCCACCTAATCTGTCATTTATTTTTTGTTTTGATAATAAACGAAGCCAGCCTCCAAAAGTGATTAATCTGTCCTGTGATTTTTTTCTCTCTCTCACACATCACTGTCCAGACACTAACTTATATGTTGGTTGTCTTTACATTATAATAATATTTCATATAATCTAGATATGGAATAAATAGCATTCAATACAAAATGAATATGTCTCATATATTGAAATCAAGTTTTATGTGATAAAATATTTGCTTTGTTGTGCATTAGAACCACAGTCATATATTACAAAATAATTTATTGAAGCATCCAGATACTTCACCACGTGACAGCAGCAAGCAGCTAGGCTCCTGATTGGTTAACGCAGCGCGAATTGACGCAGAAGTTCAGATTTTTCAACTCGGGCGGCAGACGCGAATTCGCGTCAAACGCGTGAATGCACAAATAGCACTAACTAAATCATTCGCGCGTAACGCGCCAGACGCTCAATTCGCGCCATTCGCGCGAACTTGACGCGCGAATGAGGAGTATTCGCGTCTACCGCGCCGCGCTCTACGCCTCATTCGCGCCGCAGGAATTTTTTACGCGCGTAACGCGTCTTTGCATTGACTTAACATTGAAATCACTCGCGCCTGACGCGCTATTCGCGTCCGGTGTGAACGCACCATGAGTGCGCGCGGGCGGCGCTCTCCTCTGCTCGTGATGCGCCCTGTCAAGCGCAGCAGTCATTCTATCACTCACCGATCAAAAAAGGCTTTGGCGGGACAAAAAATTGCCATTATTATGTCGAAATACCGAGATAATATATTGAAATAACGACTTAATATCTCGAACTAACATATATTTGAATATAATTGATTCCAGACATTATTTTGGGGGGTGCTATCGGGGTGCTTTGGTCTTTCTTGGGGGTGCTGAAGCACCTGCTAGCCCCTCCCTAGCGCCGCCCATGCTCTCGCGATAAGTCATTCCAAAAATCATGGTAACGGATGTTGGTAGGTTTATAGCCTATATCACAGCCACCGCACTAGACATTATTATTATTAATGGAAGGAGACGAGGTGTGTTATCCAAGCATTAATGGCAGACCCATACTGCGAACGGCACATATACCCTAAGAGTTCCTGGCTGTTTCTCCCTCATTTCTGCTCCGAGGTCTTGATTGTGGCATTTCTTTGAGGTTTAGAATCCAGTATTCCTGTAATTATTGTTTCTTTTATGAATTTAATAAAGAACTCTGTCTTGTATGTATTATGTCCAAACAAACGGTCAGTGTACTTTTGTGTCCATTCGTTTTTCCTTATTTAACCCGTAATTGCAAAACGAAAAATGAATGGTTGTAATTGTATTTTTAAAACGCAAAGTCGAATACCAAAATTTTTATTTGAACTGTACCTACAAACCAAATGCTGCGCAAAAAAATAAATATCGACGAATTTTCAGATTTTTGTTTATAACTTTTTGCCCCTTTATTAAACATTTAAAATATTGACAAATTAATATGAAAAAAATGTAGATTTTACTGGTTTTCTAAGGCCAAATTAGAACCTGGAAATTATATTTTTCCCGCAGTGCTGAATGAGAAGAGCCATTTAACCACAGGTCCACAGCCCACAGAAAGGTGAGTTATAGGTGAGTTATAGGCTATAATAAATGTGTCTGAAAAAATAACAAGATATTTTAATTGTTTATTAATAAAAAATCAGTGTCGGCTAAAACATTTCCATCTCCGCTGTATACGCCGGATGCACCTTTGGAGAGAAATGCACCTTTCATACGGATTACATAATCAGAAGGTATTAGCTTTCGATTCGAATTTGTTCGTTTTAAAGTGGACATTTCAAGCTTTAGCTTAGGCTATATTTTGTTTCAGTTCTAGCGCAGTTCTAGCGCTTCTTCACGGAGACCATGAAGCGCGCCTGATTGTTTTATTTTATTTTACAAAAGCACAACGTTTTCTTGTTATTGTGAGCTTACACAAAGTAGTTGCGAATAATGTATTATTATTTTCTGTATGACCAGAAATGATAGAGTATTTTAAGTTGTTTCCACTGTTGGTAGGAAAATGCAAGTGTTCGCGCCCACGCCATCCAGTGCACGCTCCACACTCGCACACACACTTGGATATGGGTCAAAATCTTGTTTAGCCTATTTGTGATAATCTTAGCCCTGTATTATGAATGAGATGTGACGAATTGCTTTGTTCCTTTTTTGGATAAAAGCGTCTTCTACATATTTAGCCTAATAAATGTTATAATAATGATGATAATTATTATTAGCCTATTATCCCCGCGACGTCAGGTGACTGTAAATGCGCAAAACCTGTTTCCATTGCAGTTTTGCGAAATATTCCTTTTTCGAATTGCCTGAAAAACCTCCTCATGCGAGCGTAAAAACTTTTTTGCGATAGGCCTAAACGGGAGTTTTTGCGAAATGGACGTGTTTCCATTAAGCGTATTTTCAATTCGCAATTTCAATTTGCGCAATTTGAAGGGTAATGGAAATGCAGTGTTGTAATATTCACAGATATATATTTAAACAGCGCACGGGCCACATTAAATTGATCACCAGAATTTGTTGGCGGGCCTGATTAAAAGTCGTGGCGGGCCGTGTTTGGCCCGCAGGCCTTGTAATTGACACATGTGCTCTACACTATCACACTAAACTGCATTTAAGTGTGTTAAAGTTATAATGTTATTCTATGTGTTAGCCTAGTTTGTCTGTATGAGACTAGCAGTGAGCGAGATAAACATTAGAATAACATACTGATCATATTCTAACATTTCATCATGTTGTTGAGCTGTTTAACATTGATTAGTTTTATGTACATTTGCTCTCCTGTCTAATAAAGCTCATGTGAGAGCGGCGTCTGTCGAGTCGAAGTTAGCCGCGGACGCTAGCTCTCGCCGTCTCGAAACGCCACGCTGATACTGATCCTCGGTTTAGTTCTCCTTTTGTCCCAAAGTCTGCTTGCCATGATCCGTAATGTTTGAACAACAGCATGAGCGCGCCGCTAGACGTAACGCAGTTGTCCATGTCTGTCGCCATGGTTACTGCGGCAGAACGAGCGGAAACCAGGGATAGCGCGGACATTACGTCAGTGACAGCCGACACCTGAACAGGGACGAGCCATTATTTAAAACAAGAATTTGGGAACTTTTGGGATATTGTAAGTACACAACTGCAGGAAATACATCACACTGTGCAAGTGATTTTTGGATATTTTATTACAAAATTCTTACATATTGTACCTTTAATCTCCTGTTATCACTGTAAAGCTGCTTTGAAACAGTCTATATTGTTAAAGCGCTGTATAAATGAAGGAGACTCGACTCATCATGAACGTTCATCAGTGTGAACGGCTGATTGTTACACCTGTGAAACGCGGTGTGTGTGTGTGTGTGTGTGTGAGAGGGAGAGTGTATGCGTTTGAGTGTGAGGGAGAGTGTGTGTGTGTGTGTGTGTGAGAGGGAGAGTGTATGCGTTTGAGTGTGAGGGAGAGTGTATGTGTGTGTGTGTGTGTGTGTGTGTGTGTGAGAGGGAGAGTGTATGTGTGTGTGTGTGTGTGTGTGTGTGTGTGTGTGTGTGTGTGTGTGTGTGTGTGTGTGTGTGTGAGAGGGAGAGTGTATGCGTTTGAGTGTGAGGGAGAGTGTGTGTGAGGGAGAGTGTGTGTGTGTGTGTGTGTGTGTGTGTGAGTGTGTGTGGGTGTGAGTGTGAGGGAGAGTGTGTGTGTGAGTGTGAGGGAGACTGTGTGTGTGTGTGTGTGTGTGTGTGCATGTGAGTGTGAGGGAGAGTGCGTGTGTTTGCGTATGTATGTATGTGTGTGTGCGTGTGTGCGTGTGTGCGCGCACGCGTGTGTGTGTGTGTGCGCCCGCGTGTGTGTCTGTGTGTGTGTGTGTGTGTATGTGAGTGTGTGTCTGTGTGTGTCTGTGTGTGTGTGTGTGTGTGTGTGCCCACGTGTGTGTCTGTGCCCACGTGTGTGTGTGTGTGTGTGTGTTTGTGTTAGTGTGCCCACGTGTGTGTCTGTGCCCACTTTTTTCTGTGTGTGTGTGTGTGTGTGTGTGTGCCCACGTGTGTGTGTGTGTGTGTGTCTACGTGTGTGTCTGTG